GTTGAAGTAAGTTTTAGATCTGAACTCTAACTTCTACTTAGCACAGACGACTCTAAAGCAGCTACTGCATTACATTAGGAATTCAGTGTTACCAGACCTCTGAACAGCAGGCAGAACCGTTAGATTTCATCGCTGACTGCAGCAGTTGTGTGCATGCTGGCCAGGAACTTGAATACAGCTGCCTTTTCTCTGAACAAAACCTGCCAAGAGGTGCTGGCATTGGGAAGAGAGGAATTACTGAAAATGGGTTTTGTACATCTAACTTAGGGGGAAACAGCATATTTGGGTAAGAAACTGTCAGAGTATCTTTCTCTCTGATGCAGAATTCCATGGTTAGGACAATCCTACAAATGCATCATAGCATTGTGTGGTGATGATCCTGTATCCAGGGATAAATCATATGTTGGCTATTATTTAATGATGATAAAATAATTATTGTTTAATTATGCCCCTTAGGTCTAGAATCTATTTTGTTTTGATGTATAGAGAGTTTGTTCCAAGTTTGTATTTTCAGAATTCCTTATATAAGAATAAAAAATATTTTGGTCATTCATTTTATTCCTTGACTCAAACTTTCAAAAGAACACTAGATTTTACTATTTCCCTCTCTGCTTGTCAGCCTACATGTAGGAAAGTCATGACTGCACTATGCACAGGACACAAGTAAAATTGTACAGAAAAGCAATTTTTCTTAATAGTCCTAAACTGAATTGCAATTGTTGCCTATTCTCCTGACTATTGATATTGCCTCATAATTGATATATCATCCCTAAACCAATTGTGATTTTCCATGTCGATTCAAACACTCTCACTCACTTACTTGAAAAATATTTGTCTGCTCCAAAACCATTAAAGTGCAGACTTGTTCCTCTTAAAACTGATTTCTAGCCATTTAAAAAGTTTGTCCATTAATAATAAAAACAAAGCAATTGAAATCATTGTCTGCAGAGTGGATCCCAAGCTCTTATTCTGAATTGTAGTTGGAACAAAAAGTTATATAACCTGGGATGATAAAGAAAATATTAATTCAACAAAATATAAGTATCTTTGGGTTTCACAAAAAACCTTAAATAAAAAGGGGAACTGTTTAATTTAAGATTACTGAGTTAATCTTGTTATGAAGTGAAGCCCAGTGGAAATTCACTTGGGCTAAAATCCTTGCCTTCTCATCCTGTCTTTGCCGTTTCTCTCTCTCTGCAGGCAGGTGGGGCTGAGTGAGTACTCCCCGGTGAAATGACCTCTGGAGATGGCCTGAGGCCCAGAAGAGAAAATCTAACCGGCTCACCTCGGTCCTGTAACTGGACAGGGCCCCGGCGGCTGCCAATGCCCACCACTCCTGTAGGAAGGGTCTCCCCTAAGGGGCTAGGAAGAGACTCAGCGTCCACTCAGAAGAGCGCTGGCCAAGGCCCCGGCCTCCGCAGCTCAGCATCACAGGTAAGCAGTTAGTTCTGTTGCTCCAGACACAGCTGTCCGGGAGTCCCTGCCCATGCCTCTCCTCCCACATGCGCGGCCTGGTGAAGCCTCTAAGCTTGGAATGGCTACCGCCAGTCATCTTGACCCTGGGAGCTTTCGTCCACGCCGCTGCTTGCAGGGTCCCTGTGTGAACACCGTTGGCCTTCCGGGCTGGCCACCTTCCTTCCACGCACGCTGCCGCGCACACGGTCGGAGAGGCCGCTGCGGGCCGGGCCGGACTCCCACGTCTCCTTGCGGCCGTGCAGTGACCCGGGGTCCCGCCCCGTGTGGTGGGGAGCGGGAAGGGCAGCGCTAACCCTAGCCCTAGCGCTGATTACCCGGCCCTCTGACGGCTAATTCTCTCCGAACACGTCTGCGGGGCTTGCCCTCCCCTCCTGATCAGTGGACGCCGTTTTACTCTAGCGGAGTCGCAGGCCATCAGTTTATAAAACTGTTTTTATCTTTTCTGTATATAAACATTTCCTTTCAAGGGCAGTTTCATTAACTGCATCCCGCAGCTCTGCATACTTTCAATAACTCTACAAAGTTCGGCTTCTGAGATGCGTCTGCCACGATTGTCAGTCTTGGGGCCCGGGCCAGGTTCACCTCCGCCCCGCAAGCCGGAGGCCGGGCCGCGTCTCCCCGT